AAAAAGAACTTTCTTCTATTGTATTGTTTAGACCACTGGTTCGAAGCTATTTATTAAGCTTAATTCCAAAATAATTAACTCATCTCTACAATAAAGTAGATAATCCGTAGGAATAACCCAGTGAATAATTTGTTTCTATACTAGCACAAACCATTTTCATTATCTAAAAAAGATTCATACAGTCTACCGCAGCTGTGATTTATCAAAGTCAAGCGTGTGAACTTTTATTACTTGTTTCAGCACAATTTTGTGGACTTGGGCATTATTACCTGAAGAAAATTGAAGTGTGGTTCACTTCAGAATTACTACAGCCGAATAAAAAGTCCTTCCAGTTTTTCTCTCATCCACATGGAAGTTGGAATAAAATATGGCCGAGTTTAGTTCCAAACTATTTCTTTAAACTTCCAACTTTTCCATCACATTAAAACTTTCCTACACACACAAACTTTCAACTTTTCCGTCACATCGTTTCAATTTTAACCAAATTTCCAATTTTGGTGTGAACTAAACACACCCATATGTTAGGAGGAGAAAAAAAGTTGGTGGCTTTGAAGCTTTCATCATCCCATCAATGGTCAACCACGTTCAGTTGACCTAAAGTATTTGGCCCAAATCCAACGTTTATGGAAGTTGGCCCATTACCATTACTATGCATGTCATCAGTTCATTTTCTTTTTCCTCTTCTTCTCCCTCACTATCTAAACCAAACTTAAGATAAGCTAGCATATATAAAAAAAAGTTAAGATAAGCTAATACTCCCTCTGTTCCATATATATTATATAAGTCATTTTCGATTTTGTCATAAGTCAAACTTCTTTACCTTTGATCGGCTATAACATCGAATTGGTTTCATTAAATTCACTAGAAAATGTGTCCTAACAGCGCATTTATTTGTTAGTGTAATTGTTAGTGTTTTTTTATAAACTCAATTAAAGTTCTTAGTGAAGTTTGATTTAGGATAAAACTAAAATAACTTATAGTATGGAACGGGACGGAAGGAGTATGTCTTAATTCTGATGCTTGTAACCTGTCATTACCAAAATTCCCAACGGCTAATGCCCACTTAGATAGTCTCAGAGTGGTCCTATCAAAAAGCTAATTGTTCGAACCTGAAACCTGAAAATCACGCCGAAAACACAGGAGATAGGATGCTAAAGAAACGCTGTGACCAGCACAAAAGAGTTGTGAACGTGCAGAGCTTGCTACTAATGTGAAACCTAACCACCCAACAGGATGGGAACGCTTGGATCTGAAAAGAGATTAATTTGTACCAAAAGGCATCGTCCATCGAGGAGCTTTTCAACAGCTTTCTTCAGGTTTAGAAAGAATCAGAACTTACATAGGACACTCTGGCCCATCTCTTTTTATTAGGTTTTACCGACTGTTTTGCAGAAGTAGACTCAGATTCAGCTAAGTTGAAAAGCTCAAATTTCCAATCCTAATCTCTCCTATGCAAGTAGTAGTAGCTAAGAGTGACCCCCCCCCCCCCCCTAAAGAGCTGAACGGCTGAATGATTTTGTGATCACTATTCGAGAGTACAAACGAATGAATTAACTATTATAAAATTTAAAACTGATTATTCTTTTTTAAAAATCATATATCAAAAGTTTCTACGAAAATCACATGGTACTCGAGAAGTGCGTCCATTCTTTCATTCCTAACCTCAAATGAATATATGCCATCTTGAAAACTGAAATGAATTTATTCAGATAAGCTAAGCAATCCAAAACAGACCCTGGCAGATACAGTATCATGAAAAGATAGTTACTGAAAAGTCCATGAATCCAAAATCATTTCAATACTGGCATGTATACCAGACACAAATCATTGAAGAAATGATTCATTCGTATATATGCAGGCACCTAATCACTTAATTGGCACATATCCTGTTCAGTTTTCCCTTTGAAGCTATCTCCAATTGCGAGATGGGGTCACTTACACCCTGTAAAACACTAGCCACTCTGATGACCAAAAGTTGATCATTTTTCATACAATCACATGCAATGCTTCTACAAGATCATTGAGTTGCTTCTACAAGATGTGTTTAGGATACTAGTGCTTTACTTATACTGAATTGACAGTGACCTCCGAACTTTTTCTTCCCGTATAATAGCTCATCTAATCGAGTATATCATATTTTTATCTCCTTCCATTTCATGCTGATTAAGTTCATAACCCGCCTTGCAATAATCAAGTGTGTAGCCTGTCACCTTTTTGCAGCTTCTGGATGGCGTTGCGTGAAGCTTTAGTATCTGATGGCCTAGCTGGCCGTTTGGCGAGTACTGCAGATAGGGTTATCAATGATCACGGGGTTTATAGTTTCAGATTAATTTAAGTACTCCAATGTAGTATTTGGTAATACTAAAATGGAAGATGTGTTTGTTTTCTTGCCTATTATTGCTGACCCCTGCCGTTGCAAACTTGGCAATTTGCGCAGAGTACGATGATTTGATTTGCATGATGGCATGATACACAGTATTGTAGTTAGCAACAGACATGTTCAGAGTTCAGAGGTGAAAGAGGCAAAAGGATTTGTTTTGAGTGTGAATTTTACAGGGTTTTTTTGAGCAGCTTGTTGAGATGAATCCAAAATGGTTGGATACGTTTCATACTTCGTATCATGTGAGATGGCGAAGGGATGTGTTTATGTATTGATTTCTGGATCTGCCAAATCTATAGGTACACAGTAACACAGGTTCATTGAGATCTCCGGGTTCATTTCAGACAACATAATCTCCAATCAATCGATCACATGTACGCTTCATGCTATCACATTCTGTTTCATGTTATCGTAGTTGATTAATCCAATCACTCCATCCTGAATGCTTCCATGTGTATCCTGTAATTACATCACCTAGTTGTCATCCCATTCGTCATGCAATCTCGTAATTCACGGGTCAACCTTCAGAATCAAATTAACCCTAAGCCTGTCATAGCCTGTGCAGAGTTGAACATGCATCGGTTCATGTGCCCTTAGTCAAGAATGATATACTAGCTTCAGGGTTAATTTAGACTGATTAAGATTAGCAAGCTTGCAAGTCTTTTACTGATCATTCAGTCTACTAATCACCCGGCCGTTGGGAGCACGCGTCAAGTTCTCACATGGGTCACACATGGCCAGATTCAGAGCTGCTCGTCTGAATTCTGAATGTTTCAGACTTGGTGTTCTGTTCTGTTGGATCTCCACAAAAAAAAAATTGGCCAGCTAGTAACAAATTAACCAAGATGCATTGACCATTGATTGGTTGGTAATAAAAAAATTCGCATGTGTATTACACTCTGTAGTGGCGGTGCTCCTAACATGGATCATTTACGTGTGTGGTTACATTTTTCAGCCAACCCACCGTCAACTCTCTGCACACGGTTTTGAAGGATTTGGAGTTAGGCAAGTCAATATTGGACTAGCTTTGTGAAGTTAGATGACTTGTGAGTTGGGATTCAAAGCTCTTTTGACAAATATTCATGTCCTGTTTGGAATTTACGAAGATTTACTGTTTATTTGGAAAATACTCCATCCGTCCTAAAATATGTTCCCTCCGTCACAAAATATACTAACTTTTATATATGAATCTAAATATACGTTATATCCAAATTCATGCGTAAAAGTTAGTTTATATTGAGATGAATGTGGATAAGTATAAGTAATTTTCCAGATCTATATCCTATATCCAGGAAGTTGCTATATTTGGACGTGTGTAGTAGTAGTTGGTAGTGCTTGTAAAATTCATCTGTTTCAGAGAGGGTGTTATTGATTTATTTATCAATACCGCACCTTTATGATAAAATAGTGCTTTGTTGGCAAATATTTGAAAATTTGGACAAATTGATTTGGTTTGCCTTTTAAAATTCCGATCATCTATTTTAAAACAACCTTATATAATCTAGTAAAAAATTATTACAGTATTCGTCGACGAGTTATACCACGATCACGGTATTCATATATATATACAGGATGTTTGAGAACGTAGGGACCAACTGATATGGGAATGCAAACAAAACTCTAAAAGTATACGGGTTCCAACCTCCTATTGACAAGTAATATTCCTATTCCTACTGACCGAAACCGGTGTTACCATTATATATCAATATCTCTCATAAATATAATAGGGAGTAGAACCTAATCTAGTTTGCTAGTACACCAGTGTGAAGCTCAGGCATGTGCTTGATGGCTAATTGATATCGGCTTCCTTGAGAACAAACTTGGCAAGATTGAGAGGTGGCTCTAGAACCCTCCTTGTTGGATTCGTGTCTCCTCTCCTTCTGTGAGGTTTTGTATTTATACTGTTATTATAAATACCCTCTTGATCAAGTAAAACTAGGAAAATCAATTATGTATACAATTCGGGTAGTCTTGGACTCTTGGTTAGATCTAAATAGGACTCTGTTTCCTTTTTCTTATACATGACTACTTCCTTATCTACTTATTACACTTGCCATAGCAGTATTGATTCCGTATATGATTTGGTATATAGTGGGCTCCACTAATACTAGTACATATGTGGAGCGAGAAGTATATGATATCTCATATTTAGAATACTAACAATATGATAGTGCTTTTAAGACAAATATATGTATACCATTTCTTCTATTTCCAAATTAAACATTCTAAAAATTACCAATCGTCGGAATTTTGAAAGTTTAACCGAATCTTACCCTAGTCATTAATATTTATAGCGTGAGAATGTACTTCTAAAGTACTAGGAGTAGTGTTTAAACAAAATTGAATCTAACGACAAATGACACCTTGCAAATATAATAAAACCCAGAGGTACAAAGTACAAACCCCACAACCTCGTGGCTACTATAACACACGCAACAAACTCACGGGAGTCAGGATTCATGTCTCATGCATGTTTGTCACCAACCAAATGATATCACACCCCTCTAAATACGGACCAAATTTGCCCTTTCCATCTTCAAAAAATTCAAAAAACATTAACAAATAACCCCCTGATAACCCTCATAATCACACATAACCCCACTTCCACTCCTTATAAACCCTCACACTCCCACACTTCAAGGAGGAGGAGAAGAAGAGGCCAAGCAAAGCAAATCAGCCAACCACTTGAGCTTCTCCCTCCACTGAGCTCCAGATCCACTCGCCCTCGGCAATGGCGCATCCGCATCGGCTCGTCGCGGTGCTCGCGCTGATCCTCCTCGCCTCGCCGGCGGCAATGCGCGCGGCGGAGGCGGCGTGCGCCGGCGAGAAGTTCCCGGCGGGGAGGGCGTACGCGGCGTGCGAGGACCTGCCGAGCCTCGGCGCGGCGCTGCACTACACGTACGACGCGTCCAAGTCGTCCCTGTCGGTGGCGTTCGTGGCGGCGCCGGCGGGCGCCGGCGGGTGGGTGGCGTGGGGGCTGAACCCCACCGGCGAGGGGATGGCCGGGACGCAGGCGCTCGTGGCGCTCAAGGGCGGCTCGTCCTCGTCGGCGCCCGCCGTGAAGACATACAACATCACCGGCTACGTCGCGCTCGGCGGCGCCTCGACGCCCATCGCGTTCCCGGCCACCGACCTCGCCGCCGACGAGGGCAGCGGCGGCAAGATCCGCCTCTACGGCAAGCTGCAGCTCCACAAGGGGATGAAGTCCGTGAACCAGGTGTGGCAGGTCGGCTCCTCCGTCACCGGCGGCGCGCCCGACAAGCACGCGTTCGGCCCGGCCAACCTCGCCTCCAAGGCCAAGCTCGTCCTCGCCGGCAGCAAGGCCGCCACGGCGACCTCCCCGGCGTCCGAGCCGGCGCCCGCGCCCGTCGCCGGTGGCCCCGCCCCCTCTTCCGGCAGCGACAGCGGCGCGTCGTCCTCCGTCGCGCCGACCGCCGGCAAGAACGCGGCGACCACCGCCGCCGCCGTGTCGGCGCCGGCGCTCGCCGTGGCGGCGTTGGTGGGTTTCTTGGCGATTGTATGATAAAGATTATTGACAGCTACGTTCCTACGTCCTAGTACCATGATTAGTGGTGTTCATTGATGTTTGCATGATGAATCATTTCTTGAACAATTATTTCCCTACTGTTCTTGTTTCCTTTCCTCTTTTTTTTTTCATTTTCTCTTGCTTTTTTTTTGTTATAATTAGTTTTTCTTTGATTTTTCCATTTGCAATAAAAAAATGGTTGGTGCACAGCACTTGTTGTTAATTCGGCACTAGATTAGTACAGTGATTTTACTATTGTTGTACATGCCATTGATCTGGTGGTAATTTGGGGTTATTTAATTTCGGATCTCCGGATCAGTGTGGTACAGTGTTTTAACATCCTGTGCGTTGGCAGGGAAGAGTGTGCACTGTGCAGTTGCGTTATCTGGATTTGATTATGTATTTGCGATATAATTATGTGTTGCCGGGGGGTAATTACCCATGAATTTGTCTTGTATTTCTTGTCAGTGAGGTTGGCAACAGTGACTGCAGTAGGTACAAGGACTGTGCAACTATGAATGTCTGAACAGAGTGTGCATGTGAGCTTGCATTTGTTTACGCTATTCACCAGCCCAGCTAGCTGGAGACCGTTGGGAGGGAGTGTAAATGCCAGCTTTTACTGAGGATTAATCCTTTGCAGTAATACGTCCGTGCAATAGCAATTAACAAGATATACTAATAATACTTCATCCGTTTCATATTACAAGTCTTTCTAGCATTTTATACATTCATATATATATATATATATATATATATATATATATATATATAAATAAATCTAAACATATATATGTGACTCGATTTATTAACATCTATATAAATATGGACAATGCTAGAAAGTCCTATAACCTGAAACGGAGGTAGTACTATGTATTTTTTTCCCAAAATAGTACTCACTTTTCAGCTATAAATATGGATATAGCTATGTTCAGATTTACTCCATGTTTTGACTTTGGTCAAAGTCAAACTAAGTTTGACTAAATTTATAGACAAATATAGTAATATTTTTAATACCAAATTAGTTTTAATAAATCAATAATTGAATATATTTTTATAATAAATTTTGTTTGGGTTGAAAATGTTATTATATTTTTCAAACTTAAAGTAATTTGACTTTGATTAAAGTCAAAGCGTTTTATAACCTGAAACGGAAAGATCGGAGAGAGTATGTCCTATTAGATATACACGCCCTCAATTCCAAAACAAATGAATCTTGACTAGGAATATAGACATGTGCCATGTCTAAGTTCATAGCCAAGAATTCAACTTTCTTTCCAAAAGGAAGTATTAACTTTTAATTATTAATCTAGATACTGACTTATCCAAATTATTAATAGCTAATATAGCAACTATGAACCGAGACAAAGTTATTGGAGCATATTTTAAGATAAAGGCAGTGGTAAATATATTTCCACACACACATGTACATGCTTTAGTAGAGAATTTTGGTAGACTAGCTAAAGCCCGTGTTTTACTACGGATAAAATGCATTTTTGGTGAAATGTTCTACCCGTCGTTCTGCTATGGAAAATATTTGTCTCAATTTGATTCTATACGTCGCTATCCATTTAGATTGATTGGTTTTTAACATAAAGAAGTTCATCGAATGGTTTGTAAAATTTACGATGGAAGCAGTTGGAGTGACAGATTCACTGTTATCATTATTAGAGTCTTGTTAAAGTAGTATGGATTTTCGGTGTAACTGAGAATCAGGGACGCTACGAGCAGGATGATTCGCACCAGTAGCAGCAGGAATTGTCAGCTTGCCGAAACGAACACCGATGATAGCGACGATCCAACTGCTACGGTGCCAAACGTACACGGTTGACCGGTTTGTATGAAGCCATGGATCGGACGGTCCAGATTGCGTCTCGTCTCCTTCACAAAATAACCTACTAATACTGTACTAGTAGTAGCAGCTAGTGTGTACATATACCGTGTACCTGCAGGAGCATGAATGTTCAGATGGACACATGGTTGCAGTAAAAAACGGCGATAATGTCACGCACATTTTATTTCTCTTTCGTACTACCATGTGTACTGTGTCTCTGAATCGATGAGGATGCAGTACAGCAGCATGCACTCGAAAAGGAAATGCAGTACTACCTCATGGTCAGATTGTACTACTAGAAAATACTAGTATTTCATTTAGGTTTTCATAATTTAAGATAAAGACAGTAGTAATTAGGGATGAAAACTACTATGAATCTAAATATACCTTAGATTTGTAGCATTAGGATAAGTCTAAGAGCCATTTTGGGTTGCTACCAAAACTTAGCCCTACCAATATTTTGTTAGTTTAAATAGTACATGTGTTTAGTTTGGACTAAAACCAATTTATTGGTAATGCCCATGCTAGATTTGACATCAATATCTAGAACAATCTTAACTAGAATTCATAAGTTGGCTTTATATGATAGCAAACCAAATATAATCTTACCCTAAAAAAATTAGTAGTGTCAAAATTTAACTAAGTTTTAGCACTGACAAAAAAAAATGCAATGGTAGCAATCCAAATACAGCGAGAGTACAATGAGTGCACATGCAGTCTGAAATGACCGAATCGTGTATGCACTGATGCAGCAGAAATCAAGATAGGAATATAGGATGAGGAGTTGTAGATGCATGAACACAAGCAAGATGAGCACTCAATGGATCAGAGAAAAGGGTGTGTGATAAGAGGATGGGTCGGCAAAAGTGAACGGGCCCGGCACGGCCGTCTATCATGTGCCGAGATGGTGAAAATTCCTTCTTCGTTTTCTTCTTCTAAAGTTGTGTTGGACCCCCTTCACTGGAGTGCAGGAAAAGGGCGATCGACAGCTGAGTGCGCTCCTAGCTACTCCTACCAAGATGTGAGGAGCGTGCACACTGCACATGGGCTGTAACATTGGCACAGTCTGATTCAATTATACAAACCAAATTTAGGATTTATAGTTTGGTGACTCATGCCGTTTAAAATGGATGTTGTTCAAAGTGAAACAACAATGGCAAAATTATACTTTTCCACCTAACATTTGGCTTGTCTTATCCAGACGCTTTTGCCGAAAATTTGATAAGAATCCTTCCAAATCTACGGACCACACCCTACTAAATTCTCCTCGGTCTACTGAATTCTGCAAATCAGAAAAATCCAAACGGGAACAGACAAGCTGCTTGGACATCACGAATCTCCGTATAGTTTGGGCCAGAATTTCCTGGCCCATCTAAGTGGCCGGGTGGGATGAGGCCCATCAAACGAGCCCAGAAGCAGCTTTATCCGAGCAGAACCAGCCCAGTTCAGATCATATGGGCCTAACCACGCACGTGGCCCATTTATCCCAGCAAATCCAGCCCAGTTTGGAATGCCAGGACGGCCCACCCATACAACTTGATCCGGCCGTCCGCTTCCATCTCACGAGATCCTAGCCGTCGATTCGACCAAGGCCACGAGCCCGCTAGGGTTTCTCCCCCCGTATAAGAACCCTTCGCCATCCTCCCCACCGCCACCGCCGCCGCGTCTTCTTCCCCCAAATTCGTCGCTCCGCTTCCCTCTCCGATCCGAAGGTACAGCGTCAGTTCTTGCCCAGGAATCAAGATTTTTCTTCACGCAGCTGGTTGGATTTGTTGCTTGCTGCATCGTCGATCTCGTCTCTTAAGTTTTTTTTGTTTTTGTTGTTTTTGGTGGAGCAGAGATGGCGGTGCCGCTGCTGACGAAGAAGATCGTGAAGAAGAGGGTCAAGCAGTTCAAGAGGCCCCATAGTGACCGCTACCTATGCCTCAAGGTGATGACGAGTTTGTGCTTTCTGGAATGGACCATTTCGATTAGTGGTAGTAGTAGTAGCTGCGGTGAGATCAGCTGGGTTTCCTGCTTGATTTTGAATTAGGTCATACGTGTTGCTCAGGTTTGACCGATTTGTGGATATGTGTAGTTTGTTTCAAATTCATGGGTTGGTTTAGTAGGCTATGGAAGTGTTTTGGATTTGCTTGAAGTATGTGGTGATTTGCTTAGTCTTGATACACACAAGTGCTATTTTGCTAACTACTACTCCCTCCGTTTCACAATGTAAGTCATTCTAGCATTTCCCACATTCATATTGATGTTTGTGAATCTAGACATATATATCTATCTAGATTCATTAACATCAATATGAATGTGGAAAATGGAAAATGCTAGAATGACTTACATTGTGAAATTGAGGAAGTAGTTTAGTGTCCAGTAACAAGAGACGCTTGTATAGTAACTAGATGTGGTTGGTTTCCCAGTAGCTGAATGCTCTTTCAATTGTGGTTGGTTAACCTAAATTTACCCATTTGCATGATGTTGTACGCAATGAAAGGCAAGATATCTCCCATCATTCTTGCATGTGATTACTTGAAATTAGGATTGTTGCGTCAAGAAACTGTTTTGTTGTGAAGTGTGAACATTGCTCCTAGTGCTGCCTCCTTCTATTCGTATTATCAGAACTGCAAGGCCTGTGTGCAGATATTGAGCTATGTATAGCACTACTGACAATTTTGCTATCTACTAGTCAGCTTAGCTGAGAATGTTGTTGTTGGACCAACACTTCATTGTGATATTTTTGTTTAAGTATATCGAAGTTTGTTTGCAAAGTCTGTTATGGACTTCTATGCACTTCTATTGCACCAGTTGTCCTGGTAATAGTAAACTATGTTATTGTTTCATGGATGCTAATGTGATGCCACCGTTTAAAGGTTTACTGTTATCATCCTTCATATGAGTTCCTGCATGTTATTGCTTTCATTAGTGGGCATGGCATCCTCGTTTGTAACTATGGCTATTTGGCATATTTGCTGAGACTAACTTCAACTTGTTCATACTTGTCCAGCCAAGCTGGCGCAGGCCCAAGGGTATTGACTCCCGTGTCAGGAGAAAGTTCAAGGGATGCACCTTGATGCCCAACATTGGTTACGGCTCAGACAAGAAGACCAGGCACTACCTCCCCAACAAGTTCAAGAAGTTTGTGGTGCACAATGTCTCTGAGCTGGAGTTGCTCATGATGCACAACAGGTAATCACTTTGTTCACCAAGCTTACTTTCAGCGGGGTGGTGTTCAGCATTGCTGTTTTCTGTTGTCAGCACCAGCTGCAGTTACAAACTTTCTGCTAATGAGCTAATTCTCCTGTAAACAGGACCTACTGTGCCGAGATTGCCCACAACGTCTCTACGAAGAAGCGCAAGGAGATCGTTGAGCGTGCTGCGCAGCTCGACATCGTGGTCACCAACAAGCTTGCAAGGCTCCGTAGCCAGGAGGACGAGTAGGCTGTTTTATCAGTATAATGTTTTGGTCTGGTTTGATTGTAGGAAACTGTCGCGCCTCCAAGTATTCTCCTTTCAATCGATGTGGTACTGTGAAAGATAACTATTATGTCAACCTTTTTGCTACCAGCAGCTACTCTAATGTGGCCAAATTACTATCGCATCATTAGCCTACATGTCCTGCATTTT